AAGAAGAGAAGGGAAATGATCAGAGTGGGCACAGCAGCAAGAGGATGGGTCTGGGAGCACTTAGAGAGCTGGGTATATGGGTAACCAAGGGAACACCTAAGAGGATTACTCTTGAGAGGCTAGTATGACTATTAGAACAAAGTTCTTATTATCTGTGTGGTCTCATGGCTCAGCAGCTAAAAGGATTTGTCTTTCTTCCTAATGGATCTTTAAAATAATCTCCCATTAACCGAAGTAATGGGAGTAAATCTCTTTCCTTTACAAACAAAAAAACCAATCAATCAATCTACTATCGATAGCCTAACCAATAGCACAAAAGGAGCTTGCCTCCATTTTTAGTGCCATCTCCTGCTTTAAGGCTAAGCTTGAAGTCAGACTGTTCTTTAAAGTTTCTTATTTGAGCAAGTGAGCTATCCGATGTCACATGGCTGCATAAAGCTTGGGCATGTTTAAACATGATCAGTACTTGGGTGTAGAGTCTGGACCGCTAAAGTACCATAGTAACGATTTATCAAATAGCAACATTAAGAGCAGACAATGGGGCCCAGCCGGCATGGCTCAGTGGCTGAGCATCGACCCATGAACCAGGAGGTCACGATTCGATTCCAATCTGGGCACATGCCCGGGTTGCAGGCTGGGCCCCCAGCTGGGGCATGTAGGAGGCAGACAGTGAATGACTCTCATCATTGATGTTTCTATCTCTCCATCTCCCTTCCTCTCTCTGAAATCAATAAAAACATATTTTAAAAAAAGAAAAAAAAAAGAATAGACAATGGGGGCATAGGTGTTATGTTCAGGATAGAGTGGGTAGGTAGCTAAGTAATAGAGATCCGTGTGAGATCAAGATGGAAAAAGCAAGGATACTGTAGACAAAGCTCAGATGCTACAGGTTCAGTTCCAGATCACTGCAATAAAGCAAATCCTTCTGTTGGCAGAGGGTCTTCCCTTTAATTTGTAAAAATGAATATATCTTCTAATCTTTGAATATACTTGAAACAACAGCCCTGGTTCAGCCCTCTCTGACTGGGGACACTGTGGCTTGGAAGCATGATTGACAATAGCAGGTGGTTGTTTTCAAGGCAGGTTTAAGGTGGGATAAGTGGCAGGTTAATGAGTTGATAATAGTCATGGTGATGGTAGTTAGAAGAGATAAGATAGGGACAGAGGGAGAGCCGCTCAAAGTCCTTATGGTCAAGGAATTTGGGGTCTGAGAAGATGAACAAAGGGTAAAGCTCTACCTAGGCTGGCCTAGATGTGGCCTATAAAGGAATTTTTCACTTTTAAGTAGTTTTGCTAAGTGGCCACCTGAGGGCACTATATTCTAGTCACCTAGAAATCTTTATTTTTCCCCCCACCCAGCAACTAAATTATCCTCAGTTTGCTGAAAGATAAACCCATATGCTATAAAAAAAAAGACACCCATAAAGACAGAGGCCAAAGATGACCCTTCCTCCCTATCTTTGTTCTTGAACTAGATTAATGAATGAACAAGACTGACCTCGATTCAAATCCCTGGGTAATGGCTAGGATTAAATAAAATCATCTGATTTAAAGCTACTTAGCATTTAATNGTAATGGCTAGGATTAAATAAAATCATCTGATTTAAAGCTACTTAGCATTAAAAAAGGAAATCAATAATTATTAGCTCCTTCCCATGTACCACGGCATACAAACATAAACATTTGCCAAATATAGGAACAAGAGAAGGAGCATAAGGAGGCATCACACCGACGTTTCTCTCTCTGAAGGGGGCAGGACTCAGAAGTCCCACAGTGAATGTACAGCTGTGCGAGAAATTCATCCCGGAGAGCAAATGCATGCTGCTCTTTCCACTGCAGGCTGCAGCTTGCACATAATAGCCCGGGGGACTAGAACACAACAGCTGGGAAATAACGATGAAAGGAGAGCTGGGCCAGCGGGGAGAGACACACATCCCCCAGAGCCCGGCAGTGTCAGGAAAGGTCATTTGAGCCAAGGTCACCTGCACAGAATCCCCTTTCTCCGAGAAAGATAAGTCGCCTGCTGCCCATTTCTGACCATCTCCTTCCAAGTCAAGGTGGGGAATGGGATACCTGTTCCCGAGCTTTCAAATTCCTACGGTAAGGCCCATCCTATATAATGAAACAGCGCCACAGGCAAAATCCTGCGTTATTATAACGGCTCGCTGGGGCCTGGGGTGGTGGCAAACAAAGAAATCGGGCTTCCTAGCCCCGAGGAGCCCGTAAGGTTTTCCCGTCCGGAATCCCAGATGGCAGTTTTGTGGCCCTATGCTGCCCTCTAGTGTCTTCTTAGGGGATGGTGACAGGAGAAATAAAAAGACTTGGCAGGATCCTGAGGCATCCAACATCGCCTCAGCCCAGGACTGGGGAAATAAAACAAAACAAAAGTAAAATTCTTAGGGGGGAGAAAAAGGCAAAGCCAGGATTTGTATTAAAATTAAAACCTGAGTTAAATTTGGCCTCCACATAGATATTGCATTCTTTCTGGACTTTGAGAAACAGTGTTTAGACGAGCGAGGGCTCTTCGAAGACAGGCAGCCTGTTGTTCCCTGCACTTCACTCTCCAGTGATTACTGCCTCGCCGGGTCTGTCTGCATTTGTAAATCCCACCCTGCGACTCCGATGTGGTTAAGTTGGTTGACCTCACTTTGAGAGAACTAAAGATTGTTGCAGTGACTTTAAGCAGAGTGTAGGATAAATCTGACAATTTTCTTGTAATCCTGTAAGGATACAGCTCTTAGGCAAAAAATGCATGAAATAAAAGCACTGACCAAGATGGATCAGCTTTCATTTCTCCCACATCTGGAGTGGCTGATTCCTTCAGGATCAGCTTGCAAAGCCAGCAACGCTGCTCAGCGCAGAGGGAAGAGCTCATACAGATGTCGCCCTATATGAAAAGCCCCCAGTTCCAGCGGGGGGCGGGTAGGAAGGAGAAACAATGCACAGTTGCTGTGACTCATCCTTCAGCTATCCCTTAAACATCCCTTCCTGCAAGACTCTTCCTGTTACCCTCAAATTAATTTCAATGCCCTCCAGTGGCTCTAGGGCATCATGTTCTTCTGTGCCCTTTAAATACCCCCTTAACGTCAGTCTTCTCCAAGGGCAAGAAAGCTCGTCATTACAGGAACCCTACCGCCCTCTTCCCAACTGTGCTCTTTTGTCAACACAGGGTGAGTGCTCAGTAAATACTGGTCATCCGATCAATGCCCCAGTCACACAGGCCAAGAGGTGGTACCATGGAAGCTAGGAGATGTCTTGCCCCACGACCATGCTCCCTCTGGTTCATGACACACAGGGCAAGAGGGTTCTTTGGGGTTATTGCTGCCATTGGATCACACATCCTATATACAAGCCCAAGGCTTTGGATTTTAATATTTAATTTCAGGAATTTGCTCTCACTTTCGGCATAATCTGGTAAATCCGTAAACACAAGGGACTTCAAGAGGTGAAAGTCATTAATATAGAATCTCTTTATTTACCTGGGAAATTCACCCTCAAATTAAAATTGTCCTTCTTAAACACAAATGCACTCGGTCAAATTTCAATGCCTATTATCTTACTATTGTATAATAGCCTATTTTCAATTCATAGTTTTAGTTTTTATGAAAACTAAACTAAACTCATATTCAGAGTCATGAAATGCTCAATGTTTTAATAAAACTCAGTTCTGAGGACTTCTTAGGTTTGCAAAGGTCCCTCCCTTTGCAGGGGGAGACAAGAAAGAGGCCTTGCCTGTTCAACAGCATTTCCTTTGAATTGAATTTCACTTTCTGAGCTAAGCTACTAGATTTGTGGGCATAAACAAGATGTCTTTGAAGTTAACAGGAGGCCCATTCTGAAAGAAGGGAGAGAGCCATTACCACACATTTTAGGTGCTGGACAAATCTAGCCTGGGATGTACATAAATTCTGCAATTACAGAAAGTGAAATACTTTTCTTTCTTCTTTTATCCTATTTAGAAAGAGGATTGTTCTCTTAGAAAGACTTTGGTAGCATTTTCTCTTTCCAGTTCCCTAACTGCCTCATGTACATTCTTTTGGAATCAAAGGGAAAGATCCCATCAGTATAAATGAACAGCTCTTGCCAAGCAAAAATGCAACCACAAGGACCCTGCAGAACTATGGGGTGCACTGGGACAGAGCGGAGGCGGCAGAGCAGGAGGCATGTACCAGAGCGGGAGTCCGGGTTGCTCCACTGTAGCAGTAGTTTTATCCCGGGCAAGTCACTCCAGGCTCAGGCTTCCTACTTGCTTAATAAAACGCTAATGATACCTCATCCAAGGCTTGTCGTAGTGTTAAATGTAATGGGATATGTAGACATGTTCTTAGCAATCCACAAAAGCCACTGAAATAGAAACGTGTTATTTTCTCCTATTATTGACATGTTTTCTAAGGAGTTTGTCTTGCTCACTGATGAAATCAAGTATCAGTAAGAAAAGAAAATGTCTGCTAAGACTTTCTTAGAAGCTGGTAAAAGAAACAGTTCCACTGGTGTGTGTAGTGGGAGGATTCACTGTTGGAGGCACAAAGGTATAAGCTAGGCTCGGACCCCAGGTGGTCAGAGGGTTCGTAAGTATCTTGGGAACCTCACCAAGGAAATAAAACTAATAAGCCCTTGAAGAAACTCCTTAGGTGACTGTTTACCTCGACTCTGCATTGATTAAAAACTGTTGGGACTAAGGAAACTTGCAAACGCCTAATTTTCTTTATAATAAGGAAACTAAGAATACCTTTCCTCGCTCTTTAAAATTTAATCATGCATGCATTCTTAGGTGTTGCATGTTTTGAACAGCTATTAAAAATGCATGTTTCTGCCACATTAAAGGCAGAACAGGGGCTGTGTGTTGTATTATTAATTGTGTGCAGGAAATGAAATTCTGGTCAGTTTTTACAGAAGGCGCGTGCACGCACACACACACACACACCCCCCAAAGCAAAAGGCCTTCCAGGTGCATGGAGACCACGGGGCTCAAGCCGGCGGCTCTGACCCTGAGCACTCACTCTTGAGGTCCAAGTTCCTGGCTCCCGCGGTGATCTGCGTTGTGATCTTCGTGTCAATCTTTACAGTGTGGAGATTGCTGGTGTCCCTTGATATCATCACGTTGTGCCACTGATTGTCATTGAGAGGTTTATTTGAGCTCCCTTTGATGAGGTTAGCACCATTTCCCAAGTCAAACACGTAGTGTAAGTACCTGGGAAAAGAGGACAGGTGGGAAAATGCCATCACTTTTTGCGTTTTCAATGGAGCCAAACTTGACATTGCAAATGGGGGGTTGTTTTTCAGGTGACTCCATCCTTGCCAGGAGTCAGGAGAGTGTGTGGTGTAGAAGCCCAGCTAACAAGAAGGTAGGAAACACTATTCCGCGTCAGTAAGGGGGGTTCTTTATTGTCTTCACTATACGGAATAGTGAAAGTAATTTTTAAAAATCATGGTCTGCACTGATTTTGGAAGGTCTAATGCACATCTTTCACTACTCACCCCTGTCTTCACCACTCCCTCCATCCCTTGCGAACCACGCTGAACTGGAAATCCCTCTCAGCTTCTTGCACTATTTTCCCTCTACCTCCAATGCCTGTTTCTCTATGGAAATGCGCCCCCCTCCCTCAGATCTCCATTCGAATATCCACTCCCTGCCTCAGACGGTTCATAATCTTCCTAAACACTCGCCGAAGCCTCTGCACATGACCATCTTGGAAAGCTTGTCACAGTGCTTTTGTTCTATGTGTTCACCTGTATCCCCTAGGGTTGAATGTTTGCATGTGTGCCTTGGGGTTGGTGGAATCTCAGATACGTACAGGGTGGCAAAGAAATAAATTTATTTCCTGGCACATTCTCTAGCTTATTGTAAATATGCAGCAATATTCACTGGATGAATGAATGAATACCCAAGTGAATTAAATTACATAAAACTTTTATCACAGTTTCAAGGAAATTTCACAAAAACCTTTCTAAATTCTTTAAGGAACTTGGACATAGAATTCGGCTTAAGTTAAATGGGATTTTATAAAAGTGAAGTAATCTGATTACTTGAGTTAGCTATTTAACTTAGCACAAACTAGCCTACAAATGCATAGAAATTGTTTTGTAGAACTACAGTATGCGTAGTAATAACAGGGCAATCCACATCTGAAGTGTAAGATTCATGGAATGCGTAGCATAAGCTAGAACTTAATGTTATTTATCTCTCATCTATGGAAATGTAAGTGTAAAAGACTATACAACAGCCCTATTAATTTATAAGATACTTAAATAATGTAAATGAATATATTATTTGTATATCCCCCCATCCTATTCACCCATCCATGGCCTTGTATCCAACACATTTTGTTCAACGTATATTTTTGGAAGTTGAGGTCCATTTTCCCAAAGTTTCATTTGTCATTGGACTGACCTATACTCACCCTTTAACTAATTCAACCACAATAAAGTCATTTCCATCCCCACTGTTATAGAGAATGAGTCCATCTAGGGATGTTGTCTTGAACTGGAAAAAAAGATGCATAGACGTGTAGGCTTGCAGTGTAGCTAAGGCCACATAGCTAGCTTTGGTCTTGAAGGTGACAGGGTCGGCTATGATGTTCCGGAAGCCAAACCTGGCATTGAGCTCACAGTAATCTATGTCACCATTTTTACACAGGTCAATGTAGGCCATTCCATTAAATGTCAGGCTCTGAAGGTGTCCGATGAAGTTGGAGGGGACAGAGGACAGATACCGCCGTTCCGTGATGATGCCAGTCTCTATGTTATGGAACTCCAGCCTGGTATGATCGCCTGCCATTTGACCTAAATGGGAGGATCGTGCACTGTTATTTCCCATACCTGGAAGGCACTTTCAACTTAGAACAACATCACATTTTAACATACAAGAATGCCTCCTTGATATTCAATTACATATAGTAAAAAACACAGAAGTGATGTTAAAGGGCTAGGCTGAATCACACAGCACAACTTTCTTAGGTCAGGTTTCAGTCTCTGCAAACTGTAGTCTTAGCAACAATCGTTCTCATTAGCCAAAGTGACAGGGTTTTTAAAACGTAGAAGAAGAAAAAAAAAGGAAGTGAGTAATGGAGAAAGGAAGGGAGAGAGAGAGGCTGAGAAGGGGGGAGAGAGAAAAAAGAATAGGAAATAACGAAGAAAAGGGGGGAAGGAGTGGGGGAGGGAGGCCAGGGAAGGGTTTAGAGGCAATGACTGTCCTAAGTCATCCCCGTAGAAAGTGATATGTCCCAGCTTCTTGGTGATGATTTTCTTTATAAGAAATGTTCTTTAAAAAAAAAAAAAAAAAAGTGATTGTATATTTTCCTATGGCCAATTAAAATAATGAAGAGCTGCTGACTGTTCTTTCAATAATGAGCCATGAAAGTGTGTTTGAAGTTAAGTGTGTCACTTCCACCTTCCTTTTTCTGGGCTGAATAATTTCCACAGTCTATGCCATTTCCCCTGAACTCATGTTTTGAATAACTAAATTGAGCACAATGTACTAATTCAAGGCATGCCCAATGTTGAGAATACCAGTAAAATTAGTCCACGTTACCAAGGTTATAATCTTCTTTAAACACCTGAGGATGAAGCTTGGTTGCAGATTTACATGGTGATTCACTCTTCAAGTCACCCCCCATCCCTCTTCTGCCATATTTCTCTGTCATCCCCAGTGAAAGCCAACCTAGTACCATTTTACCTCCAGACTGACAATTGCACCTACCTTCAGGGTTGAAGATAAACTAAATTTTAAAAGATATAAACTTGGTTTTTAAGATACAACATAAAGTACTTTATCACTGCTAGTGATTCACTCCCAACATCTTGATCTTGCTAATGAAACTCATTCACTTTCTTCTGAAACTCAAAAAGGTCATTAAAATCGCAATCATGTTCTTCCAGGTACTTTCACTACTCCGTCTGGCATAACTGGAAAGTTTACTAAGCTCACCCTATCCCATCATCCATGATATTAATGAAAATATTCATTAGAATCAATCCCAGGATCAGCCCCTGAGAAAATTCACTGCACTTCTTTCCATGTGTAATGAAGATTGCAGAGCCACATGTGTGGGTCACCTTCAAAGAGTCTGACAGATTTCCATTTCTTTAGTCAAGACAGTAAAATATTAGACGGCATTTTAAAGAAATGCCTGTCAGTACAGTATAAAAGGCACACCCTTTTTGTGCAAGAAAAATTGTCTACATACTTAATTGACTTTGAGGCTTTATAAACTCACTGGTGTAAAACTCTCTCCCCTAATCTGAACTTGACTCTACTTAATTTTCACACCTGTTTACTAATCCTTGATACTGGTAACATTTGTCCTGTCCCCCTGGGTGTGTTCTCGTTTTAGTCATTGGTTTGTTTTAATCCCCTCTCTGATTTTTTTTTTTAAGTATATCTTTATTGATTTCAGAGAGAGGAAGGGAGAGGGAGAGAGAGAGATAGAAACATCAATGATGAGAGAGTCATTGATCGAGCCCGCAATCTGGGCATGTGCCCTGACCGGGAATCGAACCCCGATCGCCTGGATCCTAGGTCGATGCTCAACCACTGAGCCACGGCAGCCAGGCTGAAAACTTTTTTTTAAACAAAAAATACCACTGTATCGAATTGTCTTCCTCCTTCCTCCCCACTAAGTCTCCTGCTTTTCTAGGTGGTGCAAAAATACAATGAGATCCTTAGCAATGCTGGTTTCCTGCGTGACATCGCTTCTTTCTCCTTCTGCTCCTCTTGTTCAACGGCCTCCACACTGCTCTGTGGAAAACTCTCTCTTCGGTGGCAAATAAAGTGAGCCTTTAATCATTTTCAAATATAAAGCTCTGGAGACACCGGTAACATTGAATTAACAAGCCATATAGAATGAAAAATATAAAAAGTTTAAAAATTGCTTGGGCTTTTCTAACTCTTTGTATTGATTTTTAACCTGTTCACGATATTAAAATCTGAGTTTTAACTCGGTGAGCCCACCCCAATCCTGAAATTGTCATATTTCTTCTTAAAAGTTCCATTAACAAACCAACCAACAGGAAAGAAATATCCGGGAAAAATATTTCAAATACTTGAAGTTAAGTATCACCCCCAAATTGTCAAGTTCTTGGCAGCACTGAAACAGTGAAACGCATTTTGTTTAGGAAGACTGAGAAGTTCAATACTAAAAACAGCGCATGATGTCTGTTTTCTTTTCTCAAAGGAGTAGGATATGTATGCAGAGCATACATGATAAAAACGTAGTAAAATAGTGGTGGAGAAGCCACAGCCCAGTTACAAGAAAAATCATTATGGCCCTTGTTCAAGAGCCTATTCTTTCTTTAATACGCGCATATAAATTGCCTTGACAGTAATAGCGGATATGCTGGCTCCAGGGAGAGAATTAGCACCTCAAAGCCATTATCCACTGACTGAGAAAACATTAACTGCTGCCTTTAAAAAACTCTTTTTCCCTCAGACTTTATTCCAGTGTTTAATCCTCTCTAAGTAATGTAGCCGTCTCTACACTTGTATACATACATTGATTTTAAAAATTAAGGACTTTAAAGGAGAAACATGTTTAAGGCTCTGACCATTTAAAAACCCACTGTCTTTTCCAGAGAGTTCGCAGGAAGAAGAATTTGAAATTAGCAAAATGCCTCTGATCAAAGTGACTGGAGTAGAGCAGATTGGTGATCATTTCTGATAAAAACAAACAAACAAACAAAAAAAAACAACCCACCCAGATGGTGTGTTTGCATAATAATCTCAATATCTAAATCAAATCTTTTGACCTAAACTGATAGCAAGATCAGCTACTTTAGGTGCAGCCTTGCCCAGAGTTGGGTTACTTGCTGCCGCGGAAGGAAGCAACCGGCCAGGCTTACGCTGACCTGCTAATTCACTTAGGGTTCTGAGTATGTAGTACGTGTATGTGTCAGGAAATTAAAAAACAGTGGTAGGAGGAGCAGACGTGGACCCTGTTTTCACAAAACTCACAGCCTGTTGGAAGAAGGCAGACAAAAACATGTCAGGAAATAACTAAGCACACGAGGACAACACTCAGAAAAATGTTAGGAATTTGATGAGCCGATTATTACCGTGTTGGTGAATATAAAATGGGAGAAATACCTGAGTTGATATTTAACTTGAATTTGAAGGATTAAAAAGAGAAAGCCATGCTAAGACAGGAGAAGAGGAATGGGCAGATGGATTCCGAGAGTACAAATCAACAAAGGCTCTCGGGAGCAAAAGAACTAAAAAGTGTGGCTAGAAAGTCATGAGGAAGTGAGGTTAGCGGCTCACATCAGACGGAAAAGAGGGTCAGGGCTCAGCTACCAGGGCACCTCCTGATTACTCCAGGAGCTACTGCAGGGTTTTAGGCAGGTGGGAGCCGCGAGTCAGGGTGGGCGTGGGCGTGTACGTGTGCGTGCGTGCATGTGGGTATGCGAGTGTGTGTGTGTGTTTAATCTCTCTCACGGAGAGAGTTTGGACTAGGGTGATTACAGCAGACATGAAAAACAAAGAACAAAATACGATCATTGTGCAGATATAATCTGCAGGATTTACTAATGATGTTCAGGATGGACAGACAGAGTGATGAGTTGAAACCCAAGGACTCTCCACTTGGGAACCCCATGTATTTTATAGAACCCTTTCCCATCTGAATCCTCAGAAATCTCTCCTTTTGGGCGTCTTTGCTGGTAACTGCTGTCTTCATCGCCCAGCTGAGGGGCAGACATCTCCAAGAACAGCTTGAGTATGGACTGTCCTGTGTTCGACAGACACTTGACTTAACAGTGAATATATAACTGTAACTTAAAGATGTGGTCAAATGTAGGATTTTGCATGCAGAGTTTTTAGTGCTTTCCTTTTCAAAAATGTTCCTTTTCAGTGATTTCTGACTTTTTGTAAAACCTAATAAGAAATCCCCATTGCTTTCCTGATACATAGGTGGCTTCAAGTGGCCACTAGAGTGTCTGAAAAAAATTCCATCCTAGACTTAAGCCTCAATGGCAAGTTTCCATTGTTATCTTTGGAAACCATTTCTAACAATATCAATTGTGGCTGACTTTTTTATTATGACTTATTCACTTTCATGAGATCTTTGACAAAACATAATCCCACAAATCACCCTGATGAAAACTCATCAATTAAAGGTAAATTACCACAGAAAAGAAAAAATTGTCTTTAGCTCTGAGCAGCAAAATGCTGGGAATTGGAGGAAGGACAGAGGTGGGGTGGAATATTGGGAGGAAAATGCCTAATTTAGGTGAATTATCAATGTTGACTCGGCTTGTGTTCCCTTATCATCTTTACACTCTGGGAAAGAGCATGTTGGTTCCCACAATTGAAAAAAAAAAAAATTCAATTCCTACAGAGCAGTGGGTAGAATCTAATTTCTGCTCTAAGGCCTTGGCAATCTTGAGAAATAGTAAGTGGCAGGCTAATTTCCTGAAATGCTAGTTTATATTTTGCCTTTCCTTCAATATAAGAAGCTAGCCAAGTCCTTTGTACCATGTTGCTTCAAAGGCTTTTTCTTGGCAGAGAGTGGAAGCTGCTGGAAGACGATGTTTTTTCTAGTCTTTTGCAATGGCCTGATTCAAGGTGTTTCCAAAATAGAAAAGAAGAGAGCAGAACACATATGAGGATTGAAAGAGACAATAAGGAGATCACCACTGACCAGGAAAGAGTTGGTGGGATTTAGGAATACTGAGTGCCAGCAACTTGATCTCTGGTGAGGTCCAGAGATTCAGATAGAATTGGTGAGGCAAACATAGGGAGACTGGGCCACTGCCCTTCAGCTATAGGGGTCAGCAAAGACTCTTTGCTCCATTTAGATCAGAAGCAGCAGAGTTCCTGCAGTTCAAGGTACAAACTTGGAAAACTGTCGTTTTCGTAAGGCATAATGGACCATGAGTCAAAGGCAAACAATCTAACAAACAACACATCTAGGTTCTCTTCTCAGTTCTGGTAATAATGGTATTTCAAGAAACATAAGCCACTTAGACCTTACCTGCTCATTTCTAGCCCTCTTCACAAAACTCCAGTTGTCCAAACAATGGGTGCTAATCTACAAAAACTATTCATTCATCTTCCTGGAACTAGCTTCCTGATGAAAACTAGCTGAACTTCAGCTTACACTTCAGCCAAAGCTCTGCAAAAGCTCTGCCTCCCTTCCCTAAGTTCATACAACTCCTTCAGAGCTTACTCATACTCGGCAATTCTGAATAAAAGCTCTGGTCATGGTTCTCTGGTTAATTTTCTTCCTCAGAGAATAAAAGGACATATGATAGCAGGGGTCTCTCAATGCCAATCCATGGACCATATGCATGAGAGTCCTCTGAAGAGATTTTAAGAAAAAGAAAAATCACCATGCTCCCCCCAGACTTCCATGGTGTCAGGCTAGAAATTGATCCTTTCAAAGCTCTTCAGATGATTTGAAACAGAGTGAAGTTGCACCTACATGTAGAAAACATGTTTGAAAAGCCATTAAAGACTAATGAAATAGGATACTAAGAGATCTATGAATTGGCAGTTTGCCTCCTTTGAACTCAGGAATAATTCTCTCAAAAGTTAAAATCCCATATATGATATTTCCACATTGATGGAATCAACTGATCTCTGATTATGGGAACATCCCACCCCCACCCCCACCTTGCATGAATGTAAAACAGATGCTTCTGTGCTGCCCAAGGGCCATCTTTGCCTTGTACTACAATAGTTAACATGAAGATGTTCTCTAAAGAAGAAAAAGGAGCTGTATCCCAGCAGGTCATGTGCTTGAAGTTATTTTCAGCAGAGAGAGTAAAGGCCCACCGAATACTCTTTCATTAAGTTCCCCTGTGTCTCTGGGGTGGAGCTTTATATAGCTCACCTCAGTTAGGAATCTACAAATCAGGGATTGAACTTGACATCCTTAATATTAGAGTTTAACTGGAGTAAATGGCCAAGAATGATCTATTATAACTTATAAGGAAAAAGCAGTTCACCTAACAGAATTCCAGCATGTTCATCAATGTACTTGGAAGCTGAAAAGTATAACAGGCTGCTGTGCATCACCAAACTATAGAAGAAACAAAGAAACTGAACAGAAATTGGCAATGTGAACAATGACTTCAATATTTATGAGACACGAAGAGATATATCAAGCCACAAACTTAAAAATTTTATAATCGTAAGTTCTTCTTGAATTATTAAATAGATAAAAACATGATATGAATGTGTTGTTCATTTGAGAGGTAAAACACTTAACATGCTGCTTAGTAAATAAAATTGTTTCTGAGAAAATAGGCACTAAACTTCTGGACCTTGGTCTTAGAAAACATATTATGACCTTGATTCCAAAAGCAAGGGAAGTAAAGGCAAAAGTAAATGAATGGGACTAAAAAGCTTCTGCACAACAAAAGAAAATTCAAGGAAACAAAAAGGCAACCAACCAAATGCAAGGAGATATTTGCAAACAACAGCTCTGATAAGGGGTTAATATCCAAAATATATAAAGAACTCATACAACTTAACGCCAAACAAACAATCCAATTAAAAACTGGGCAGAGGACCTGAACAGACACTTCTGCCAAGAACACATCCAAATGGCTAATAGATACATGAAAAGATGCTCAACTTCACTACCTATTAAGAAAATGCAAATCAAAACTACAATGAGATTTTACCTCACACCTCTTAGAATGGTTATTATCAACAAGACAAGTAATAACAAGTGTTGGAGAGGTTGTGGAGAAAAAGGAACCTGGTGGGAATGTAAACTGGTACAGCCGCTACGGAAAACAGCATGGAGGTTCCTCAAAAAATTAAGAATAGAGTTACCATATGACCCAGCAATCCCTCTTCTGAGTATCTACCAGAAAAATTTGAAAACATTTATTTGCAAAGATATATGCACCCCCTATATTAATTGCAGCATCATTCATGGTGGCAAAGACACGGAAACAATTGAAATGTCCTTTGATAGATGACTGGGTAAAGAAGATATGGTACATATATTCCATGGAATACTATTCAGCCATAAGAACAGATGAAATACTGACATTTGCAACAACATGGATGGACCTTGAGAATATTGTGCTAAGTGAAATAAGTCAGAAAAAGCTAAGAACCATATATCAATCATATGTGGACTATAAAATTGAAACTTATAGACACAGACAAGAGGGAAGGGGGTGTGGGGGCAGTAAAGGGTAAAGGGGGGCAAATATATGGTGACAGAAGATGATTTGATTTTGGGTGGTGGGCACACAGTGCAATATACAGATCATGATTATAGAAATGTACACTTGAAACCTATATAATCTTATTAACCAATGTCACCCCAATAAATTTAATAAAATATTTTTTTAAAAAAAGGAAAGAACACTGAAAGACAAACCACACACATACAAAAAAAGAACTCTGTATCAGCTTCAAGTTGTGCACATGGATTTCAGTCACCTGCAGTAAATGGGAAAGTCTAAAGCTCCAGAAAAAGAGAGGGTAATGGGGACAGTGGGGTTTACCTGTCATGGCCTGTTGGTCATCCACCGTTAGCTTTAAACTTTTTCCTCGACGAACCACACGCACTGTGTGCCATTCATTATCATTGAGGTTATAGCCGGCAAAAAGGGTCTCGGGACCTTTGCCTGTAGAATATGCCAAACAGTCATTATGGACACTCAGAATCAGGCAAGCAAATGAACCTCACAGAGAGTGAGAGAAAGAGACAAAGAAAGGGGGAAAGCGAGGGAGAGGGAGGAGAGAGAAGAAATGCGAGAGATAGGGGAGAAAGGGGAGAGAGAGAGAGAGAGAGAGAGAGAGAGAGAGAGAGACTGGCTGGATCAACTTTCAAGCCCATTAGAGTCATAGCAAGCAAGGAAAATGACAAGTTAACAGACATTCTGGTGTGAAACGTTAAGAAGACTCTTTAACATTATGTGTTGATCTAAGACAAGCGAATGAACCTGTTGTCATAAATAGGCACAGTCAACACAGCACTGGGAAGCCTCCCACACTTGCACACCCCTTTTCCCCCCAAGGAGGTCTCTGATTTTTGCAGCTATCACTTCTTTGCTCATGTAGCAGCCGGCAGTCATGTACCTCTGATTCCTGGAGAGATATGACCGTGAACCATTTTCAGCGAGTGGCCACTGGCTGGATTAGACTCCGGAGAGGAGGCCGCTGTGGGTCCCACCCTGCGTGAGGGCTGCTCTTCGCTCTGACCTCACGTACCTCCAGCGTTCACCAAGGTCTTACACTTAAGGAAATGCTGCGTCTGAAAACTAAGTCTAGTGGAGGCACAGAAACTGAGTGTAGGTAAAAGTATTGAATCTTAGAAAACAAAGAAAACGGAAGTCACAGACAAAAAAGGGCCACATAGTGGGTAGGAAGGAATAAAAAGTGATGTTGAACACCATCAGTAGAGGGCAGGGATTCCCAGGTGAAAACCAAAAGAAAGAGGGAAAGAAGTGTAACCGAGACAGTAACCGCCAGTGAGTCTATGGCAGTCGAAATTCCATTTATCTATGAAATTTAAACTGGCTTAGAACAGACAGATTATCTCAGAAAGTTTTTCTGTGGAAATTATTGAAATGGCAAAGTTAGACAAATGTTCCTCTTCTACTTAAAAATAAAACAAGGGAAAATAGCTTTTAGTATAACTAGAAAATTTTTATAGGAAAATAAGCACTTCAACTGATCTGACATTATGATTCATTGAGAAAAATAGTGAAAAGTTTTTAAAGATACATTATTTGGTTTTTAAAGATACATTATTTGGTGATGGATTTCAGTTTTTAAAGTGATGAAATTTACTAATACATGACATCATTGAGTTTAATGACTTTCATCTGATTCTGGATCAGGATTTGCTCCACAATTTCTTCAACTAAATTCTGTCAACAAAACCAATCAATGTCCAAGGAGCATAGGACAAACTAAAATGCCAATGGGGAGAGAGGCCAAAAGAGAAAAAAATAAATAAGGGAACCACGGAGAAGAAACCTCAGTAGTCAGTCCGACAAGAGATCATTCATTGTTTGCTTTCAGTACTGCAGACCATCCCCCCAGCTCCCTGATGTCTCTCTTAGGATGTTACTGATGATAGGAGGTCTGCATTCCTTGGTTGGGGTTTCTCTGGAGCATAAAATAAGCCAGTGATATAATTTTGTAGGATGAACTAGATTCTGTAGATTTTGTAGGATGAACTGCCTAATTCTTTAAATAGGGCCATCATGAAGACTGGAGATCATCTCTTGTTGTTTCTTTAGAAAAGTTACATTCATCCGGATACATGAATAAAAGCCCGTCTAGATAGAACAGTTTTAAGAGATTTATCACTAAATAACTAGAGGAAGCCGGTTAGTTCAGCAACTGCAAAAATGCTTTGAGACCAAATGTTGAAAGCAAGTTCCAGGATGAAAGGAACTCTTTCTAGTTTCAATAGTGAAGAAAGAAGTGTCTAATAGCTCTGCAGAATCTTAGCGTCCTACTGGCAGCAAGGGCCATTCTTAGTTTTGATCTCTGCAAAGAGAATATATCATTTTAAGCTATTTTTATAGGGGAGATCTTTCTCCCCCCCTTAGAAATGTGCGCTTTTGAAGCAGCTCCACTCCTGTTCTCTTAATTTTAGAAGTGTTTTGTCAAGAAAAAGAAGCTTAAGGGTGATATCACCATTATGCCCCATCCTGGGCTTGATCTTGCAGTAAAGTCATAATGCTTAATCTATGAAACAACGATTTCCATAACAACAGGCACAAAATCCAATTAAAAATAACCCTTGGGTTCATAAAAATCTCTGTGGGGCAACGTCAAGCTCCTTTCTTGCATTATTAAAAATGTGAAGAGATTGATTTTGGAAGACAAGGCTTTTATAAATATTCTCAGCTCAACAGGGCGTTATCCATGCAACATGGAGTGTGATAAAGAGAGCGCTGGACAGGGATCTAAGAACTGTGCTTGCTAGTCCTTGATTTGCTACTAAGAAAGAAGTTGGGGGCTGGGAAATGCTTATTATGTTCCAGGCACTTTATCTGTTAACTTACTTCATCTTTACATTATTATCATTTTACAGATGTGGAATTAAAGGCCTAGAAAACTGAAATTCCTTGTCCCAAGGTCATATAGTAGACTGTGATAGAAAGGTGTTCCATCCCAGATTGGCCTACTCAAAGCCTGCATACCTTCCCTTGCCTTATCCTGCCTCCCAGCTATGTGACCCTTGGCTGGCAACTTACATTTTCTTTTCCCCATATCTGAACGAAGGGGGTGGAAAATTTGCTCATCATGACTTCCAGCTTGCTCTACAGAATGATCACAATGATAGCAAATGTTAACTACCCTCTGAGTCACGATGGAAGAACAACCCTAACAATACACTGTACCTGTAACTGGGAATACTGAAGGGACTGGTACTAAAGGCATATATAGAGGAAAGGCCATTTATTTGGGGCGTGATCCACTCATAATCAGCAATCTACAAAGTGATTCAGTTTCTGGTGGTCTTAATTAACACCTTCAACTTATAAAGTGAAGAGAAGGTCTAGCTGATCTTTACAATCCCTTTGAGATCTCACATTCTTAGATATTTAAAACACATGGAATTGATAAAGAAAGGTTCTTAACTATTGAAATTCTGAGTTTGAGAGTCATTTGTCCTCTTGTCTAGATTTGAAAGGCAAAATTATAGTCACTCAAGTCATTAAAAATCTGAGTTCTTTTTGAGATTTCTTCTTTCTTTGGGGATATCAAAAGATGTCCCCCCCCCCACATTAATGTGTTATAGATCAAACATTCATATCTTTAGCATTGATGCTTAATGCGATGGTATTAGGGAGTGGGGCCTTTGTGAGGGAATTAGGTCTAAGTGAGGTCATGAGAGTAGAGCCCCCATGATGGAATTAGTGCTCCTATAAGAAGAGAAAGAGACATTGGAGTTCTTTCTCTCTGCCATGTGAGGATACAAAAATATGGTGGACATCTGCAAGCCAGGATGAGAGCCCTAACCAAAACCCAAACCTGCCAGCACCTTGATCTTAGACTTGTCAGCTTCCAAAACTATGAAAAATAAACATCTGTGGTGTAAGCCACCCAGTTCATGGTATTTTGTTATAGTAGCCTTAGCAGACTGAGATAGTGAGCAATATTTTAAAGAGTTTAAGGAGAGTTCATAGCATTGCTTCCATTTTAAAGACAATCATTCCTTGTGTTTTGTAGGGAGTTACCACTTATATGTAATTTTATACTTGATTCTTACTATAATCTATTATTTAAGCCACAGAAACATAGTTTTTTCCCATTTTTTAGTTTAAAAAAGCAGATTGAGAAAGGTTGAGTATATTGTAAGTCTCAGTCAATAAGGAGTGAATTTCTGATTGATCTTTAGATCTTCCATCTCCATTCCAGAGTCCTTTCCACAGCTCCCAAAACAATATGCAGATAGCAAAAGTACAATGCGGCTGAATGCCCACATGTAATATTTGCCAGACTGGATCAAAATCCAGCTCTATAGGCTAATGTTATTTTAAAGAATTTTAGAACTAGAAGGGGCATGGGAGGTATGGAAATTCACTGAGCCATCTACAAACAAAGAACCTGAGGTCTAAAGTGGTTAGATGATGTTCCTCTGGTCACTACTTAACTGTGCAGTCCAGGTCTCCAGACTGTCAATCTATTGAAATTTTAAAAATTATTCTGCCCATTATATTATGCCGAACTAAAGTGAACTTTTCAGAGAACACCAAGATATGAGTCTACGGTTTGGTCCATGACAGCTATTTGAACTGCATCCAAGTTGAAAACCAAGGAAGAATAAATAAGGCTTAGTAAAAGCGCCAGTCTTTTGAAAAGTTTAAGCCATGTTATAACTGTTCTCTAGTTAGTGATATTCACTGGATTTTCTGATCACTCTGTAAGTAAAACTTATTAATTACAGATAGTGGTAGACACAATAAAAATTTTAGATTTCCTCAATCTAGTTCAAGTTAATTGTCCTATTAATACTTACCCATTTGTGAATTCCAGGTGGCTCTAAGATTTTACTCCTAAGAGGGTTTGGAAATAACCACAATTTAAGGGGTGACAGGAAATGGGAGGTTACCAGTTAGCCAAACAAATTTTTCTTTGAAATCTACTACTCTTACAGAGCACTGATTTAACCAGTCAGAGATACACGTAAAAGGTGGTAGCTGTTTTTGGTCAGATTAGTAACCACGTTTGCAAATTACTTTTCATCTCCACTTTCACTATGGGAGGAGATGGTGGTGAAAATTGGATTTTTGTCCCTGTCTGTTATCAACTAACTGTGCTACCTTAAGTAAGTCATTTATCTTCCTTATTTCTTATATTTTTATCTGTGTAATAAGAATGATTGATAAAAGCAAATACTCTCCTATAGCCAACTTTTAACTCTGTCATTCTTGGAAGGACCAGAACTTCTCTGTACCATCTTCCCACCTTGCAGCTACATGAAAGAGTGCAATATTAATGGGACGTTCTCTAAATTTATAACATTTTCATTACTATTATTTTTGCTATTGTTAATTTCATTTTTCTTTTGACATGGGCAGGGAGAGAGCAGAGAGAACTTTAAGGAGAGTTATTCTAGACCTATTGCTAAACTCGAATGAAACCAGTAGGGCAATATTGA